GCGCAAATAACGAGTTAAAAATGACGAAATATTCATTTCAGTTTTCATATCTGCACGTGATTCAACTCTTTTCCTGAATGGTCGAGTCCTAAGAAAACATCCATCACGTGATATCGGTATGGTTTCTCGAAATGGTTCGATGATGAAATACATATGTAACCACCGCTGCTAGAATTCGGGGATAAATTCCATTTTGAACACGAGATATACGGTTGAATCTTGACCTTGCACTTGAAAGCTTGTAATTATTTTGTCATTTCACTCCAGAATCAGTACCTCAGGTTGGTTTTGAATTTTCCTTGCGTTATTTGCAAAATATTTAATTAAGTTGGCTTTGCTGTCCTTGATTCGTAGTTAAATGTTTAATGTTATGTTTTGTTATGTTTTTTGCAACTATGAAAAAACTGTCTTACTAGGGGAACTATTCGCAAAAACAGTATGTTAGTATCGCATTCAGTTGTCTAGCTTTTTTAAAATCGAATCCAATGAGCGGCATTAGAGGATTTTGGCGGAATGACTTGCCAATGAAGATTTTAGCCAACTTGGATCATCTGTGATACGTGACTCAAACTTCTGTATTACCAATATAAAGCAGGCGAATGCTGTGTCAGTATAAAGGACTGTTGGCCGCACAGTGTCGATAATTTGATACGTTAATCTTTTATAACACAGCCAAAAGAATGACTGGTTCCGTTTCACATCAACTTTCGATCAGAAGAAAAAAGAAAAACATCAGCGAAAGCAACACCTTAGCCGCCCCGTGCACTAGAAAAAATAGTATCAATTCTCCAAGCCTGTCAACAAGTTTTGCCGACATTCACCTGGAAGAATTTCGGATTTTGATAAATTTAATGCCTGCTTATGTTAGGAGTGAAGAGTTAAAACTCTTTGCGAAAGTGGTACACGACGTTTGCAATTGTCGTTTCGATTCTTGGATATACAAACGGCAAATAGTGAAATTTGTATAAAAAAATGTTGACTTAATACTTTCATTTTCAAATGCGAAAACTACATACAGAACTCGAAATTTTTCACCAACCTGCGATCAGGAATCCTTTTTTGTTGTATTTCCTTTTGGTATTGCGTACGTTTAATAAAACCAAGGTAAACATTTCGTTACGTTTCAGAATGGAACCATTGTGTATTGATGAAGAACAGCGACAGAAGACTAACAGGGGGTGTGTAACAGCTGCGCACTGGAAGATCGCTTGTTTGCTCACCATGGCTGTCTTGCTGGTCCTGTTATTGATATTTATCACGCTGTATGTTTCAGGACAAAGGCTATGCGGGGCACAGAAAGGTAAGACATACGTTTGAGGATGTTTATGTGCAGTTATGGTGAAGGACGATTAGGGAAAAAAAGATAAAAGACCCTTATATGTAATCTTCTTTCGTGGATAATATATATTACATTTATCATATTCCTCATTCAGTATGTGCGCTATTAGTGGTCAATTTAGCGGGTCGTATTTCACTGTGCAGCCAGCTTCGGAGGGGCTATAACTCCAAGCAGAAAAGCTCGGTCCGTACTAACCTCGGTTAGTAAGAGATAATTCTAGATGTATGAAAAACAAATTTCTGGAGTTTGACTGGTAATCAGCCTTCTCATATATTGCTCAATTTGGCTCCGCGATGCGCACTAGATGTGTCAAATCTGATCTTTTAATATCCAATGAAAATCAAGCAGAGTGGTTCTTGCCAAGAAGGTTAACTTACCTACGCCACGGCGGAATCATAGTCGTAGTTATGTTTACATACAAATCTGCAAATCACCTATGCTCAAAGACGTGGATATCGCATGTGGTACATGATACGCCACATAACAGCACAAAGAGAGAGATCACTTGCCATGGTTTCCTCACAAACGTTTCTTTATTAGAGTTTTTGGTATCAAAAAGTTCGTCGAGGAAACCGTTTCGAGCAGGCGAGTGAAAGATTTACACGGCGATGTGAAATCACTCTTATGAAGTCGCAGAAAATACACCGTATTTGGGGTCCATACATATTTCTATTTCAGAGGGCACGGTAAAGAATCCTGCAATCTAATTGGTTCTCTACCCGATCAGTATTTTCCTATCTCTGCCCACGAGCCAAGGTAACGTTTTCGTGAGTCGCCGAGTACATCCCTACTTTCATTTTTCATAAATATATCTCGTTTTTCCGGCTGGGCAGTATCTTTAAGCAAAGACGTTGGTCACAACCTCAAGCCGATAAATATCTTATTAATCATCTCTTTCCGCTCTCTCAAATCACTTTGGTTGACAGAAAAATATTGGTTTTAGAATGAATTCGTATTAGCAATAGTGTCATTACGAGACAAGCGGCTTAAAACCCGTCTATAATTAATTTTAATCGTTCACAAAAAGTACCTAGAAAGTTAAAACACGAGGTATTTGGTTAAAGTTGAACTAATCGATGGAACTTTCATTTATTTAATATCTGAATTTTCTCAAACAACTCGTTCGTGGTGAAAGAGCGAGCGAAGTTTTGATTTCAGTTTTACAACGCTCTTGGTGAGTCTTTCCAAGTCCGTTCAATTTGAACACTTGTACCACAAATAGCACAACAGAAACTGGAAAAAAGGCTGCATTAAATCTTCTTGTGTCTCGTTGGAGCGCATCATTCGAATTTAGTTTTTGTGGAGGAAAGACCAGATATATACACGCCATTGCAACAAACAAACGAGCAAACTCTCACCACTTCGAAATAAAAAAATTTGAATTTACTTACTATTACTTTCCTCGCCGTTTACTTAATGAACAGAGGTAAAACTTCGTACATGAATTAATCGTCGATGAGAGTGAATAATAATTTCCGTTAGATCATGGCCTGTTTTGAAGAAAACATTGCCACAGCAGTCCTTGCTAAACTAGTTTCGTTGTTTTTCAAGTGTACGTGCGCCTTCTTCTTCCTTACGCGCTCCCTAATTGACAGGTGTCAGATGGTGACAGATACTTGCAAAGATAATGTTTCAAAGTTTGCTTGGAAGCCTTTTAAATCACCTTTACTATTACGCAAATGAAATTGTTTCGGTGAAGCATTTCTCTTTAATTTGCATCACCTCTATTTTAACTTCCATTTACTCGCTCAAAAACTGTTCTGTTTATGGAAGATCTTGCCGTATTTACAGCCCTAAATCATTCGGGTTCTTTCGGAAAGAATTTCGCTAAGTTAGAAAAATAAATAAATATATATTTACCGGCTAAGGGTCGGTCCGTATGATGAAAAACGGTTGTGTCCTCGTGTACCGGTACACAGAGGAACGAAACATTAACGAACTGCGTCACAACTCCATGTATGGATATGAAAACAATAGGAATTCCCCCGTGTACCAGTACACCAGGACAGCCCCTGAAAAACTATGACCTCGGCGCGTGAGTCATCAGTCACAAAGGCGAAAACGAGGAACAGAAACATAATGCACGGATCGAAAGGACGTGAGTTGTAAGTTATTTTTGCCTTATTTCCTCAGTGTGTCTTACCAAGAGAGGATAAAGTGGTTTCACCTGTTCTGTAACCGATTTTTATTCTCACAAAGCAGCTCTAAATGACGAAAGTAGAAAGCAATTTGAAACAGTCGGGAACTCTTTTCACAGCACATTATAAAGAAAACAAAATATTCAGACTCTTATTTTCCCACCTAAGCGAAAGAATAATTACGGTAAAATTAGCGAATCATTTTGGCCATTCTCTCCATCTAAACCTTAGCGGGCAGTCCTGGAAATTTACGCACCAAAAGATTGGCTTGTACTGCGCGCACATTATCTCAGGGACTATATCTTATCTCCCTTCTCAATAGAAGTGTTTGGGTCAGCATCTGTTACGCTGATCAACCACTCGGTGGTGACGCATAAGTTGGGAAGTTACCAAAATGTTGCAAAAACAACTTCTTATCGCTGTTGGCAGTTCACAATTGCATTAATTACCCCTTGCAGCTTCTTGTGGAAAGGAATTTTTAAGAGCTACTGTCAGCATCAGACAAACAGCGGCAAGTCGCCCAAACTCTGCTTTCACTCTTATTTTCATAATTTGTAGCCCAATATGTCCTAATAATTGTGGTGTAGTTTTTTTGTGAAAATATATTTTAAAAGACAAAAGGATGGTTAAAAAGTTACTTTAAAAATTTCCTTGTGCATTTGTGTTGTTCTATCTTGAGACGAACTCAAAGTCCGGCAAAATTTACTAGCTGGCGACTATGAAATATAGATGGTGTGCCTACTTGTCGCCACCGTTTACTGGCATAAATCACTACAATTTGTAAAAAAATCTAACATAACACTCTTACATTGTTTATTTATGATTTTATGAGCTATTTTGATGATCACGTTATGCTCTACCACATTGCAGCCAGATTTGAGTTCCAGTTTTCGTATATTCTCCATCTTATTATATCAGTTGCATGACAAGCGTGACACATAAAAATTCAAAGATGTATCAATCTCCGAAATACCAAGAGATGGGTTTTTTTCTCTTTGCATGATATCTAGAAAAACCTTCCAGGAACTACTGCATTTAGAAAACTAAAGATCCATCAATGATTCCTTTGCCAGTACGACATAGACTTCAAACTAGACCCTGTGAGCAGGGTAACTGGGATACCTGGATGGTACTGAATCCTTGGAATCAAGTGTAGTGATACTGCGGGTGTCGGATTAGCATTGGCAGAAATATTGGACAAGATGGCGGGCGCACTTGCGCATTTCGCCCATAATGGCGTCCAAATAATATAGGAAACTGTATGGAAATTTGTAAAATTTCTAAAATATAACAATCAGGAGCTCATGGTCCCGTCTGCTCTCGATCGAGACATATTCAGTATTGATTCTGCTATTCATCAAACCTCACAGTGACTCGATAAATAAAAACAACTTACATCACGAGCCAGTTCTTTTGTCATTGTTCATCGACCTAAGTCGCCATACAGTTCTTCAAAATCCGTCGTTCTCCATCCCAAACACTCGCCTATTACAGGAAAGTGCAGCAATGAAGTCAACTGCTCTCGATCGAATTGACTGCTACTGAGTTCGAAGCGTCAAAATATCCTGTAAAATTGTAATTTCCTCCCATCAAAAAACTTCCCAACGCGCCAGAATATTCCTAATTTTCCATGTTGAGTAAGTGACGAGACGCGATGTTGAAAACTATGACTGAAATGACTAAACACGAGCAACGCTGATCTTCGAATCATCGGCCATATTTGTTTATGTTCTTGCTGGGAAATAAATTAGTTCTCGGGTCCTTTTCGGAATAAAATATGCCAGGCGTTAAATGCAAATTCAGTAATCTTGGCGCGAAAATTTAAAGCAAATCAAAGCAAAGCAAAGAAAATCAAAATTCTGACATCATGTCATTGTAACTTTCAAAGGTTACTACTGTAGCGGAGAAGACAATCCGAACGCACAATATAAATCACGGTTTAATCAAATGAAGTACGCAATCAAAATTAAAAACGAAATAAGGAGATCGGTGCGAAATCACAGATGAAGAGGGCGAAGTAAAGTTGATAAAGATAGCGTAGTTACGATTGATGGTAACGTTGTAGCTGAATTTGTGTGGTTCGAACTAAAAGAAAATGCAGCAGAAACTAAACTAAGAAAATAACACCAGCCTAATTAACAATAAAGCGATTATAAAGTGAACTGAAAGTGAGAAATAAATCGATGTACGTATCCAAAAAAAAAAGAAAAGGAAATATCTTAAATGTGAAATAAAGGAAAACTTACTTTGGTCTAGCTCCTAAAGATTGTAGATGAATCGCCGATAGCAGATCGTACATGAATAGCAGAGAAAATTGGTGGCGTCGATAGCAACTTATAGCGATGAAATATGAAATACAACAGCTGGTACATGTGCTTAAATGAAACTGATTGAAATGGAAACTTATTAAGTAAATATCATTAACCAACGAAGAAATAATAAACCGGAACAAACCTAACAGAAAAGTATATAAGTTACGCGTTTCGAAACTAACAGTCATCGCTCTGCCTCGAAAAATCTCAAAGATTTACTTGCAGGTCTTCTTTTCTTTTTCTTTTCATCAAATAGAAGATCTGCGGTGCTCAAATTGTGTAAGTCGTAGTACGAAACACGCTTCTTTGCAGATCGAGCCGTGATCGCCGCTATATTGAATTCTCTTGATATTTTATTGTTCCCGAGTGTAAAACGATATACCACTGATAATTGTTAGCGGGCTCGAAATGTCCTTGATTTCTGGCGATGAGTATATTGAAATAGTGAGCTCAAGTCTGGCCAAGGGCATACACCTATTTCAAAGTATAGGCATGCTATGCATGCAAGAGT